AGGGTTAAGTGCCTTGCTCAAGGGCACATTGACAGATGTTTCACCAAGTCGGCTCTGGGATTTGAACCAGCGACGTTTCGGTTACTGGCCAAACACTCTTAACCACTAGGCTGCCTGCCGCCCGTAGCTCACTCAACCAAGGCCCTCAGGACTAGTTAATCACAAGTGAGAGTGTTCTCTTGCACAAATTATTCCTCTCTGCTGCTTAAGTGTTCAATATTAAATATATTAACTGGAACAATTATCCAGTGTTGACTTGACTTGACTAGACTTGGTTCTTTGAGAGTCACTGATTGAAATGATAAATTACTGTTAATATTTGTTGAATCTTTTATGTAGGAATAAGTAGGATGTCAAGGTAGTTCTAAGCTAAATCCCTCAAAATAAATATATATTTTTATTTATACCGTAACCACGTTCATTTCTATCAAAAAATGCCCTTCAAACATAAGAATCTTATTCTATTTTACTACCGATAATCGTATCTCCCAAAACAGTCCAAACTCACACTCAAGGTCAGGGTTTTATAGTTGATTTACTTATAGTGGAAATGCTACCTTGGAATGTCATGATTAGATAACACGTTGAGAGTTAAACAAAGTGTGAGGTATTGAAGCTGAATATGAATCCAACTATGAAGTTGAATAGCTAGTTGTATTTCTACTGTAAGCTGTTCAAGAGAAACTTCTGGAAAAAGGCTACTACTTGGAATGTTACCTTGGAATGTTATGATTAAGGAATACATTAAAGGTCCAATGCAGCTGTTTTTATCTCAATATCAAATCATTTCTGGGTAACAATTAAGTACCTTACTGTGATTGTTTTCAATTAAAATAGTAAAAATAATAATAATAATAGCTTCATAACAAAGAGCAATTTCTCAAGCAAGAATTTTGCTAGGACTGTCTGGGAGTGGTCTGAGTGGGGAGGGAAAAACTAGCTGTTATTGGCAGAGAGGTTTGGAACTCTCTTTCTTATTGGTCTATTAACCCAGGCAGGCCAAAGCTCCGTCCTTCAAAAACAGGCAGAGATTTCAGGCGGTCTTTTCAAACAGCTTTTACACTAAAAGGCATTATCATCATTTTCAGATATGTACAGTGGGGAAAAAAAGTATTTAGTCAGCCACCAATTGTGCAAGTTCTCCCACTTAAAAAGATGAGAGAGGCCTGTAATTTTCATCATAGGTACACGTCAACTATGACAGACAAAATGAGAAAAAAATATCCAGAAAATCACATTGTAGGATTTTTTATGAATTTATTTGCAAATTATGGTGGAAAATAAGTATTTGGTCAATAACAAAAGTTTCTCAATACTTTGTTATATACCCTTTGTTGGCAATGACACAGGTCAAACATTTTCTGTAAGTCTTCACAAGGTTTTCACACACTGTTGCTGGTATTTTGGCCCATTCCTCCATGCAGATCTCCTCTAGAGCAGTGATGTTTTGGGGCTGTCGCTGGGCAACACGGACTTTCAACTCCCTCCAAAGATTTTCTATGGGGTTGAGATCTGGAGACTGGCTAGGCCACTCCAGGACCTTGAAATGCTTCTTACGAAGCCACTCCTTCGTTGCCCGGGCGGTGTGTTTGGGATCATTGTCATGCTGAAAGACCCAGCCACGTTTCATCTTCAATGCCCTTGCTGATGGTTTTCACTCAAAATCTCACGATACATGGCCCCATTCATTCTTTCCTTTACACGGATCACTCGTCCTGGTCCCTTTGCAGAAAAACAGCCCCAAAGCATGATGTTTCCACCCCCATGCTTCACTGTAGGTATGGTGTTCTTTGGATGCAACTCAGCATTCTTTGTCCTCCAAACACGACGAGTTGAGTTTTTACCAAAAAGTTATATTTTGGTTTCTTCTGACCATATGACATTCTCCCAATCCTCTTCTGGATCATCCAAATGCACTCTAGCAAACTTCAGACGGGCCTGGACATGTACTGGCTTAAGCAGGGGGACACGTCTGGCACTGCAGGATTTGAGTCCCTGGCGGCGTAGTGTGTTACTGATGGTAGGCTTTGTTACTTTGGTCCCAGCTCTCTGCAGGTCATTCACTAGGTCCCCCCGTGTGGTTCTGGGATTTTTGCTCACCGTTCTTGTGATCATTTTGACCCCACGGGGTGAGATCTTGCGTGGAGCCCCAGATCGAGGGAGATTATCAGTGGTCTTGTATGTCTTCCATTTCCTAATAATTGCTCCCACAGTTGATTTCTTGAAACCAAGCTGCTTACCTATTGCAGATTCAGTCTTCCCAGCCTGGTGCAGGTCTACAATGTTGTTTCTGGTGTCCTTTGACAGCTCTTTGGTCTTGGCCATAGTGGAGTTTGGAGTGTGACTGTTTGAGGTTGTGGACAGGTGTCTTTTATACTGATAACAAGTTCAAACAGGTGCCATTAATACAGGTAACGAGTGGAGGACAGAGGAGCCTCTTAAAGAAGAAGTTACAGGTCTGTTTGAGCCAGAAATCTTGCTTGTTTGTAGGTGATCAAATACTTATTTTCCACCATAATTTGCAAATAAATTCATAAAAAATCCTACAATGTGATTTTCTGGATTTTTTTCCCTCAATTTGTCTGTCATAGTTGACGTGTACCTATGATGAAAATTACAGGCCTCTCTCATCTTTTTAAGTGGGAGAACTTGCACAATTGGTGGCTGACTAAATACTTTTTCCCCCCACTGTATATAAACACAGGAATATTATGTTTTGGACTGCACTGGGCCTTTAAGTAAGATCTGGAAGCTGAATATGAACAGAAGTTGAATATCATAAACTACTGTACTTTACTGCCTCTACTGTAGGCTATGTTAATGGGAAGAAGAAAAAAAAATGCTGTGTGACTAAAACAACCACCTCAAAACACCTCTTCCCCATCTCTCTTATTTTCTGTACTCATAGCAAACATTGCTTGTTTGGTTTTAAGTACCATATCACTAGTCTGGTGGTGATTGGTGAAGCAAAACACGAAAACACCACAGGGTGAATTCAATGAAACCACTCACAGAGTGAGTCTTTACAGCTTAAAGTGATTAAATGAGTTGTATTGAAATCCCAGGTAGGCGATGCTAGTATGGCTGAAATCGATTAGATCCATGAAAACCCCTCTGGTGCCCATCACCTCATCAGGATGTTCCACCAGGCCCACGATTATTCTCACAGAGTCCTCTTTTAAGTACAACATCACAATTATGCCCATCTCTTTATAGAACTGAAACGAACGCGGCCATTAAGGAGAGATAGATAAACAGATCGATCGGTCATATATGCCAGGTGAAGAAACAACTAAATATATAATGTCCAAAGCAATTCAAACAAACAGGCTGTGTTTTTGTCTCGGTGGTTGGGCTTTAAATAGGCCACTAACAGACAAACAAGCAAACAGCTCATCGATTATAACCGCGTTGGCCCGGGGTCGCTCAAACCGCTTCATCCGCCTCATCCTCCATAGCGGCAGCCCGTACAAGGGTAGAAGGGACGCTGTTGCATCACAGCGCCAGGCGTGCACAACCCTCCTGGTGGATCTGTTAAAAAAAAGGCTAGATCAATAATTAGCGATTGTCTTTCTGGAGCAGGGCGTTCAAACAGTAATGAGCAAGGTTGTGTGTCCCACTGAGCCGCACACACACCGTCAGGGGGAATGTGACGGAGGCAGAAAACAAAACAACACAGCCAAAAGGCCATCAAAAGCAGTTCCTCTTCCTCCAATCAACGGTTAGCTCCATCAGTTAGCGGTAGCTTATTAGCATCAGGCTCAGATCTCAGTGAACAGTGTTTTAAGAACATACGGTAATCAATCAATCAATCAATCAATCAATTTTATTTTATATAGCCCTTCTTACATCAGCTAATATCTCGAAGTGCTGTACAGAAACCCAGCCTAAAACCCCAAACAGCTAGTAATGCAGGTGTAGAAGCACGGTGGCTAGGAAAAACTCCCTAGAAAGGCGAAAACCTAGGAAGAAACCTAGAGAGGAACCAGGCTATGAGGGGTGGCCAGTCCTCTTCTGGCTGTGCCGGGTGGAGATTATAACAGAACCATGCCAAGATGTTCAAAAATGTTCATAAGTGACAAGCATGGTCAAATAATAATCAGGAATAAATCTCAGTTGGCTTTTCATAGCCGATCAAGAGTTTAAAACAGCAGGTCTGGGACAGGTAGGGGTTCCATAACCGCAGGCAGAACAGTTGAAACTGGAATAGCAGCAAGGCCAGGCGGACTGGGGACAGCAAGGAGTCACCACGGCCGGTAGTCCCGACGTATGGTCCTAGGGCTCAGGTCTCTCAGTTGGCTTTTCATAGCCGATCATTAACTCTTCGGAGTCTGGAGCTTTTTTGGCCGTTTTTGGGTACCTTCAATTTTGCCCTGATATACTACATAAAGAAATGTTTACCAGACCAATGTTGGGTATCTTTTTTTTCAGCACAACCTCACCTATATGATCTGTTAGTAAGTTTTTCACTTTGACATACTATTTCAACACACTGGACCCAAACACACACAGAAAACACAAAGTCCGTTTAGAAAAAATATGGTTTTTTTATTGTAAAACCCTCAAACATGGTGAACCAAGCATTTAAAAAGCTTCAAATTGAACCACAAGGTGCAAATATGAACATATAAAAGTATTTTGGTGATATATACAAGCAATAAATAACTATTTACAATAAAAAGTAGGTATAACCACTGGCGTTTTTCTTCTATTCTAACCCTAAACCTTTTTGTGCCACTCCTCAAAACAGTTTCTGTCCAAAATGAAAAAAAAAGCTTCAAATTGAACCACAAAGTGCAAATATGAACATATAAAAGTATTCTTGAGATATATACAAGCAATACACAACTATTTACAAAAAAAGTAGGTATAGCCACTGGCCTTTACCCTATTTGTGCCACTCTTCAAAACAGTTCCTGTCCACAATGACACAGAGAGCCACATCACAGGCCTTGCACTTCCATGGTGTGACAAACCTCTTCTTGTCAACTTGTTTACAGCGTTGACAAACCCTGCGGCCTGCTGTGGCTTTGTCTTTGGCCTCTGCAACATTGGCAATGGCCACAGGAACATGGCTGGTGCTTTTTTGAAGTGGAACCCCTGTCTGGGTCACTCCGCACAGCTGGGCCACAAGTTCTGCCACAAAGTTCTTGTGCGTCATGGGTGTGACCTGTTGGGTCGCACTGATGTCACAGTGCAGGATGTATGCATTTGTTGTTCCCATGTCCAAAAAATGCAGGAAGAGGGTACGGTACCAGCGAGCAGTTCTGCGATGGGTTGAGTAATACTGGAGAAGCTGGTCTGACAGGTCAACCCCTCCCATGTACTTATTGTAGGCCATGATGGGGGTAGGGCAGGGAATGTCTTTTGCTACCCAGCGTCCAGGTCCTTCCTTCACCTTCCTCTTGATTGTCTCGCCCGAAAACGCTGGGTGGATTGTGGAGCACACCGACACCTCCCGCGTATCCATCCACTTCACAAAGACCAGGCGATCCTCTCTGATCCATCTCACAGACCCCCTCTTCGATTTGCTGGTGAGGGCATTTTCTCTGCCACTAGGACACCCTTTTCTGTTGCTTCTGTAGGTCCCACAGGCTCCAAACTTCATACTTCCCAAACTCAGGAACAGTTTTGGGCTGGTGTAGAAATTGTCCATATAAATATGGTATCCTGTACCAAGATGTGATGGCTGAATGAGGTCCATAACAGCATCATATGAAAGTCCATGCACGCTGGGTGTGTGTGCTTTCCCAACATACACGTTGAAGTTTAGAGTGTAGCCATTGTTAGACTCTGCCAACACAAAGAGCTTGATCCCCCATTTGTTAGGCTTGTCCTTCATGTACTGGGTCATGCCAGTTTTGGCTTTTGTAGCCACCATCCTCTCGTCGACTGACAGTTCCTTCTTAGGATGGTAATGAGCCTGGCAGGCAGTGCGAATGTCGTCCATCAGAGGTTTGACCCTGAACAGTTTGTCATGCTGGGGTGTACCTTTGCGCTGGTCATTTATGACATCCTCCTCTGGATCACTTAGGTGGATGTTCCATGAGATGGACCGGAATATGTCTCTTGGCATGACCTTCGCTGGCAATGAAACAGACAATATGTGGCTTTGTTTCCAGTAGTCCTGGATACTAGGCAGAGTCACCAATGAGGTGTAGATGAGGAGACCCAGAAATCTGTGCAGTTCCTCCACATCAACGTCAGTCCACTGATATTTGCTCCCCTTCTGCTGATTTCTTGCTGCCTGTTTGTTGGTGTTTCTGCAGATTGTCCTCATTGTATCTGCGGCGAAGTAGAGCAGGAAGAGGTCCTTTGGTGTGTGCCCTGAATGCAAATCCACCTGGGCTCCTGGTGGTCTGCGGGGCATGAACCTACTGGCTTGTGGGGCAGTGTCAGGATCAGTCTCTGTTTTCCATGGCTCAGAGCTCTGTTCTGGCTGTGCTGCTGACTGGGCTGGAGATCTTGACCTGGTCTTGGCCTGATCCTTCCTTCCACGCCCCCTCTGTGATGGCCTCCGTCGGCTTGTTGTGGGGGTGGGGGCTGTTGATGGCCCAGGCTGCTCGTCGTCGTCGTCGTCACTATACAAAACAGGTAAACGGATTCAAGATTATTCAAAGTTCAAGATGTTCATTGGCATTTGCACTACAGTGAAGTAGAAAAGAATACTATAGTAAGATAAACGAAAGCAATAAAACAAATTCATTTTAGAAAAATGTTTGTCTTCTTACCTCACGTTTTCAGCAACAAAATCAGGGTCCTCGAAGTCATCCTGGCCACTCTCATTGTCTGACGACGAACTTTCCAAAGTTTCTTCATCGCTCATTTGGAATAACAAGTCGACGGCTTGTTCAACGTGAAGTGTGCGCCTCATATTGCTTCACAAAAACGATACTGCTGACAATAAAACTCTTGAAATACTAACAATTGAAATACTAACTCGTGAAAAACTCTCCAAAACTACTCATGAACTGAACTAATTCCTCTCGTTCGTTCTTTCGCAATGGCTAGTTGTCATGGGAATGAATGTTTATATACTCGTGTGCATCCTGAAGAACCGGGTTAGCACAAGCACACGTTTTTTTCCGTTCCTTTTTATCACAAAAGACGACAAAGTTATTATAATAAATGCAAAGCGCTCATAAAAGAGCGCATATTTTGACGCACTTTTTTCATGGAATTGAAATTATCATAACTTTGGTTTTAGTTGGTGTATTTACATGAAACAAACACTCAAAACGTAGCTTCGGGTCTCCATTTCTGCATGAAATCGACGGCAGCCCTCTGCGTCACTTGGTTTGGATGCTGCGCGGTCCTAAAGCCGGCCCGCGATTTGAACGCGCCGAAGCGTTCGCCGACTCGGAAGAGTTAAGAGTTGAAAACAGCAGGTCTGGGACAGGTAGGGGTTTCGTAGCCGCAGGCAGAACAGTTGAAACTGGTAACACTTTATATTTTAAGGGTTGGCAATAAACCATTTAGAAGGCATTTATAAAGTGTGTTCAACATTTCTTAATCATTACTCCCACATTTATAAACCATTTACTAATTATTAATCAGGTATGGTTTACCGTATGTTCTTAATACACTGTTCACTGAGATCTGATGCTAATAAGCTACCGCTAACTAAAAGCTTCTCCTGGATGACCTGGGGGCCCCGTGTAGCTCAGTTGGTAGAGCATGGCGCTTGCAACGCCAGGGTTGTGGGTTCGTTTCTCACGGGGGGCCAGTATGAAAATGTATGCACTCACTAACTGTAAGTCGCTCTGGATAAGAGTGTCTGCTAAATGACTAAAATGTAAATGTAAATGTATGTATTTTTTAGCTGCTAATCTAAAATGAGTGCTATTTATGCTTTTTAAATAATTTATAAATGTTTTGAATGACCAGTGTAATTTCTCACCAAAAAATGGGTGTGTCAATGGTAGACATTCCAGCAGTACCTGGTAAAATAACAAGCACACAGCAGAGGATGTTCAAGGGTTTTTCTTTATTTTTACTGTTTTTTACATTGTAAAATAATATTGAAGACATCAAAATTATGAAATAACACATATGGAATCATGTAGTAACCAAAAAAGTGTTAAATAAATCAAAATATATTTTATATTTGAGATTCTTCAAAAAGCCACCATTTGCCTTGATGACAGCTTTGCACACTCTTGGCATTCTCTCAACCAGCTTCATGAGGTAGTCACCTGGAATGCATTTCAATTAACAGGTGTGCCTTGTTAAAAGTTAATTTGTGGAATTTATTTCCTTCTTAATGCGTTTGAGACAATCAGTTGTGTTGTGACAAGGTAGGGGTGTATATAGAAGACATCCCTATTTGGTAAAAGACCAAGTCCAGATTATGGCAAAAACTGCTCAAATAAGCAAAGAAAAACAACAGTCCATCATTACTTTATTACATGAAGGTCAGTCAATACAGAACATTTCAAGAACTTTGAAAGTTTATTCAAGTGCATTCGCAAAAACCATCAAGCGCTATTATGAAACTGGCTCTCATGAGGACCGCCACAGGAATGTAAGACTCAGAGTTACCTCTGCTGCAGAGGATACGTTCATTAGAGTTACCAGCCTCAGAAATTGCAGCCCAAATAAATACGTCACAGAGTTCAAGTCACAGACCCATCTCAACATCAACTGTTCAGAGGGGACTGTGTGAATCAGGCCTTCATGGTCAAATTGCTGCAAAGAAACCACTACTAAAGGACACCAAAAAGAAGAAGAGACCTGCTTGGGCCAAGAAACACGAGCAATGGACATTAGACCGGTGGAAATGTGCCCTTTTGTCTGGAGTTCAAATTGGAGATTTTTGGTTCCAACGGCTGTGTCTTTGTGAGACGTGGTGTGGGTGAACGGATGATCTCTGTGTAGTTCCCACCTTAAAGCATGGAGGAGGAGGTGTGATGGTATGCGGGGTGCTTTGCTGGTGACACTATCTGTGATTTATTTAGAATTCAAGGCACACTTAACCAGCATGGCTACCACGCCATCCCATCTGGTTTGGGCTTAGTGGGACTATCATTTGTTTTTCAACAGGACAATAACCCAACACTCCTCCAGGCTGTGTAAGGGCTATTTTATCAAGAAGGAGAGTGATGGAGCGCTGCATCAGATGACCTGGCCTCCAAAATCCCCTGACCCAAACCCAGTTGAGATGGTTTGGGATGAGTCAGACGGCAGAGTGAAGGAAAAGCAACAAACAAGTGCTCAGCATATGTGGGAACTCCTTCAAGACTGTTGGAAAAGCATTCCAGGCTGGTTGAGATAATGCCAAGAGTGTGCAAAGCTGTCATCAAGGCAAAGGGTGGCTACTTTGAAGAATCTCAAATATAAAATAGATTTTGATTTGTTTAACTCTTTTTTGGTTACTGCATGATTCTATATGTGTTATTTCATAGTTTTGATGTCTTCACTATTATTCTACAATGTAGAAAATAGTCAAAATAAAGAAAAACCATTGTATGAGTAGGTGTGTCCACACTTTTGACTGGTACTTTATATACATGTCTGATTAACTAGCTTACTAGCTTGTCTGTAGCTTGTGAGGTGTGTAAAAACTTTGTTGCTTTTATGTATTTTTTGTTTTGTTGCTTTTTGTGCTATGGCTCTGTCTGCGTGCTACGTGCTGCTTGTCCTATGTTGCTCACTGCTCATTGTTTGTCTGTATTGTTATTGTAATTGTTTTTAATTAGCTGCCTGGGACTGTGGTTGAAAATTAGCTGACTGGCTAAAACTGGCACTTTTACTGAAACACTGATTTAATGTGCACTGTCCCTGTAAAAATAGAAATTAACTCAAACTTATGTTTTAACAGATGTAATAAATGGTGAGCAAACTATAAATACCTTATGAATGGTTTATAAATACCTCATGAATGGTTTATAAATGCCTTATGAATGGTTTATAAATGCCTTATGAATGGTTTATAAATGCCTTATGAATGGTTTATAAATGGTTTATAAATGCCTTATGAATGGTTTATAAATGCCTTATGAATGGTTTATAAATGGTTTTTAAATGCCTTATGAATGGTTTATAAATGCCTTATGAATGGTTTATGAATGGTTTATGACTGGTTTATAAATGCCTTATGAATGGTTTATAAATGCCTTATGAATGGTTTATGAATGGTTTATAAATGCCTTATGAATGGTTTATAAATGCCTTATGAATGGTTTATAAATTCCTTATGAATGGTTTATAAATACCTTATGAATGGTTTATGAATGGTTTATAAATGCCTTATGAATGGTTTATAAATGCCTTATGAATGGTTTATAAATGCCTTATGAATGGTTTATCAATGCCTTATCAATGGTTTATTAATGGTTTATAAAGGCCTTATGAATGGTTTATAAAGGCCTTATGAATGGTTTGTTACGGACCCTTAAAATGAAGTGTTACCGAACACAGAGTTCTCCTTAGAATTTTATTTTATCACACTTCATGTTTTTATTTTAAGAACATGCGTTGGTGCTGGATTGGTATATCATTTGCAGTGGTAATGGCTGATGGAAGGGCACAGGTTGGCATATGCTAGCACTGGCCTATATGGATGATTCATACTGCAATAGCAGAACACTGAACAGAAGCAGTAATGATGGCTTACGGCACAACAATGCATTGACTCACTCTGTGCCAAATCATAGTGAGAAGTAAGCGTGTCCTTCCATCCGCACCAAGGTCAAACGTGTCTCTTTCTCTGTACTCTTGGAGGCAGTACATTTTACATTTTAGTCATTTTAGCAGACACTCTTATCCAGAGCGACTTACAGTTAGTGAGTGCATACATTTTCATACAGTAGTTCATTCTTCCTCTGTAGTCTTGGAGGCAGTACAGTGCCTTGCAAAAGTATTCATCCCCCTTGGTGTTTTTCCTATTTTGTTGCATTACAACCTGTAATTTAAATGGATTTTTATTTGGATTTCATGTAATGGACATACACAAAATGTTCCAAATTGGTGAAGTGAAATAAAAATAAAAATAAATTTCAAAACATTCTACAAAATAAATAACAGAAAACTGGTGCGTGCATATGCATTCACCCCTAAATAAGATCTGGTGAAACAAATTACCTTCAGAAGTCACATAATTAGTTAAATAAAGTCCACCTGTGTGCAATCTAAGTGTTAAATGATCTGTCACATGATCTCAGTATATATACACCTGTTCTGAAAGGCCCCAGAGTCTACAACACCACTAAGCAAGGGGCACCACCAAGCAAGCGTCACCATGAAGACCAAGGAGCTCTCCAAACAGGTCAGGGACAAAGTTGTGGAGAAGTACAGATCAGTGTTGGGTTATAAAAAATAAAAATCTGACACTTTGAACATCCCACGGAGCACCATTAAAACCATTATTAAAAAATGGAAAGAATATGGCACACCAACAAACCTGCCAAGAGAGGGCCGCCCACCAAAACTCATGGACCAGGCAAGGAGGGCATTAATCAGAGAGTCAACAAAGAGACCAAAGATAACCCTGAAGGAGCTGCAAAGCTCCAAAGCGGAGATTGGCCTATCTGTCCATAGGACCACTTTAAGCCGTACACTCCACAGAGCTGGGCTTTATTGAGGAGTGGCCAGAAAAAAGCCATTGCTTAAAGAAAAAAAAATAGCAAATATGTTTGGTGTTCGCCAAAAGGCATGTGGGAGACTCCCCAAACATATGGAATAAGGTACTCTGGTCAGATGAGACTAAAATTGAGCTATCAAGGAACACACTATGTCTGGCGCAAACCCAACACCTCTCATCACTCTGAGAACACCATCCCTGTGGGGATGTTTTTCATCGGCAGGGACTGGGAAACTGGTCAGAATTGAAGGCATGATGGAGGGCGCTAAATACAGCGAAAATCTGGAGGGAAACCTGTTTCAGTCTTCCAGAGATTTGAGACTAAGACGGAGGTTCACCTTCCAGCAGGACAATGACCCTAAGCATACTGCTAAAGCAACACTCAAGTGGTTTAAGGGGAAACATTTAAATGTCTTGGAATGGCCTAGTCAAAGCCCAGACCTCAATCCAATTGAGAATCTGTGGTATGACTTAAAGATTGCTGTATACCAGCGGAACCCATCCAACTTGAAGGAGCTGGAGGAGTTTTGCCTTGAAGAATGGGCATAAATCGCAGTGGCTAGATGTGCCAAGCTTATAGAGACATACCCCAAGAGACTTGCAGCTGTAATTGCTGCAAAAGGTTGCTCTACAAAGTATTGACTTTGGGGGGGGTGAATAGTTATGCAAGCTCAAGTTTTCTGTTTTTTTGTCTTATTTCTTGTTTGTTTCAACAACAACAAAAAAATTGCATCTTCAAAGTGGTGGGCATGTTGTGTAGATCAAATGATACAAACCCCCCAAAATCGATTTTAATTCCAGGTTGTAAGGCAACAAAAATAGGAAAAATGCGAAGGGGGGTGAATACTTTCGCAAGCCACTGTAGTTCACTTTGCTTCTTCCGCTGTGGTCTTGGAGGCAGTAGTTAATTATCTGTCTTCTGCGGTGTTGAAGGCACTAGTTCACTCTCCCTCTTCTTCTGTGGTCTTGGAGGCAATAGTTCAAGTCCTGATGGGAGCAGTCATCCCTTTGGACCTCAGCAGAAAGCAGATAGGTTGATTGAGTTCAGATGCTATTCTATCGATCCCAACAACTGCTGCTGCTGATGCTCTAGGATATACCACCTCCGACCCTCTATGTCAACAGGAGATAGAGAGAGAGAGAGAGAGAGAGAGAGAGAGAGAGTGACGGAGACAGAGAGAGACAGAGAGAGAGGTTACCATGGAAACCACCAGTCTAACTTCATCCCAGCCTTTCTCTCTCTCTCTCTCTCTCTCTCTCTCTCTCAGCAAGCAGAGAGGGAGAGGGAGAGGGAGAGGGAGGGAGGGAGAGATGTAGAGAGGGAAAGAGGGAGATTCACCAGCTCTACTCAGCAGCTGCAATGTGTGCATCTTTACGTGTGTCTGTGAGAGAAAGTAATAGTCATGTTGAAAAGCTTTGGGGGAAGCACTCTGCCTTGGCTTGGCTTGCCGTGCCGCTCAGTGGATGTCCAATCCTAATGAGTGAGACATGGCTGGATGAAGTGACAGGGTCTCGGATGACTCCCGGTCTCTTTAGGCCCTGATAGGCACCCAATTTGGTAGCTCTCCCTCTCACAGCCCAGTAGAGAGCGGCAGGGGGTATAGGGATGTGTGTGAGAGAGAGCGGAGGGAGTAGAGAGAGAGAGAGAGTGTGTTTGAAAGGATTCTGAGTGGTATATAAAGAGCGACATGACTGACAAGGTGTGTGTGTGTGTGTGTGTGTGTGCCTAGGATTGAAATATACACACACACACAGTGAGACATTTGTTATGTTGCACACATGCACTTATATAGACTCTAATGGCATATCAACATCTTCCTCCAATGTTCCCCTATTCCCTCCCTGTTTTTCATTTCTCTGTCTCGGTCTGTCTCTCTCTCTCTCTCTCTCTCTCACTCTCTCTCTCTCTCTCTCTCTCTCTCGGTCTCTGTCTCTGTCTCTGTCTCTGTCTCTGTCTCTGTCTCTGTCTCTGTCTCTCTCTCTCTCTGAGAATATTATTCCAATGTTCTCCATTAGTGTCTCATATTACACACACACACACACACACACACACATACTTAACCAATGATGTGTATGAACCCTGTTTTGAACCCCTCAGTCATTTTTGTACTCCATTGTAAAAAAAAAAAAAAAAGATTTTGGAAGTTATAGAAATGCATTTATTAATGTCTGCATTTGGTTTTGACAAGTGTATACTACATGACCAAAAGTATGTGGACACCTGCTTGTCTCATTCCAAAATCATGGGCATTGACATGGTCCCCCCATTGATGCAATAACAGCCTTCACGCTTCTGGGAAGGCTTTCCACTAGATGTTGGATCATTGATGCAGGGACTTGCTTCCATTCAGCCACAAGAGCATTAGTGAGGTTGAGCACTGATGTTGGGTGATTAGACTTGGCTCGCAGTCTGCGTTCCAATTCATCCCAAAGGTGTTGTGCAGGCCAGTCAAGTTCTTCCACACTGACCTCGACAAACCATTTTTGTATGGACCTCACTTTTTGCACTGGGGCATTGTCATGCTGAAACTCTTGCCACAAAGTTGGAAGCACAGAATAGTCTAGAATGCCATTGTATGCTGTAGCGTTAAGATTTCCCTTCACTGGAACTAAGGGGCCTAGCCCGAACCATGAAAAACAGCCCCAGACCATTATTCCTCCTTCACCAACCTTTACAGTTGGCACTATGCATTGGGGCAGATAGCGTTCTCATAGCATCTGCCAAACCCAGATTCGGACAGCAAGATTGGGAAGCGTGATTCATCACTCCAGAGAACACGTTTCCACTTCTCCAGAGTCCAATGGCGGCGAGCTTTACAATATTCCAGCCGGTGATCTTAGGCTTGTGTGCGGCTGCTCGGCCAGGCAAACCCATTTCATGAAGCTCCCGATGCACAGTTCTTGTGCTGACGTTGCTTCCAGAGGCAATTTGGAACTCGGTAGTGAGTGTTGCAACCGAGGACAGACAATTATTACATGCTACGCGCTTCAGCACTCGGCGGTCCCGTTCTGTGTGCTTGTGTGGCCTACCACTTCGTGGCTGAACCGTTGTTGCTCCTAGACGTTTCCACTTCACAATAACAGCACTTACAGTTGACCGGGGCAGCTCTAGCAGGGCAGAAAGGTGGCATCCTATGACGGTGCCACGCTGAAAGTCACTGAGCTCTTCATTAAGGCCATTCTACTGCCAATGTTTACTATGGAGATTGCATGGCTGTGTGCTTGATTTTTGTACACCTGTCAGCAAAGGATGTGACTGAAATAGCCAAATCCACTAATTTGAAGGGGTGTCTACATACTTTTATATATATAGTGTATTTAAGCAATAAGGCCCGAGCGGGTGTTGCAAATGGCCAATATACCACGGCTAAGGGCTGTTCTTAGGCCTTATTACTATTATAAACTGGTTACCATTGTAATTAGAGCAGTAAAAATAAATGTTTCGTTATACCCATGGTATACGGTCTGATATTCAACCGCTGTCAGCCAATCAGCATTCAGGTTCTCGAACCACCCGGTTTATAATCTATTATAGACACCTTAATGTATAATATTTTTTTACATGTGAACTGAACATAAAATTAAAAATATATTACAACATTTTTTTAAAGGTATTTATTTTAGAGAACACTAATGTTACTGTTCCCACTACAACAGATAAATACTTAAATACATTTAATTTGACCTTGAAACATTTAATTGAAATAGTCTAGACTCCCATTCATTCCAATGGAGGATTGCTTCTTCTGAGGAATACCAATATGTCCGACCGGTGGCTTCCAATCCTCTAATTGGCCAATACATAGCATCAGCAATACAGAGTTTATATACATCATTGCACTTATCCTATTCCACCATTACACAGCACCCACAATGTACAAAACCATATAAGCCCACCACATGAAGCAAATCCACAAAATTGTATGTACGGTTTAATTGTTCTACTAAAATCAATAATGTGTCGTAAAAAAAAAAAATCTATTATTGCAGCTTCACGGCCGAGTCGGAAAGGGAGAAAGAGGAGTGGATTGAAGCAGTCCAGGAATCGATAGCCGAAACGCTCTCCGATTATGAAGTGGCAGAGAAGATCTGGTTCAATGATTCCAACAGGAGCTGTGCTGACTGCCGCGCGCCACAGCCCGAATGGGCCTCCATCAATCTGGGGGTTGTCATCTGTAAGAAGTGTGCAGGTAATAAATAGACTGTTGCTATGCCACTATCACTCTCCAAACTTTACATTGCATGCCTTTTTTTCTCAAGCCTTATATCTATAGACCCTACACCCTCCATACCGCTCCTTCTCTCACTCATGCAGCCCTTCTGTCCTCTTTTGCCCCCTGTCTTTTGCTTTCCTTCACTCATTCCCCCTTCTTCCATTCCTCCCCCTGTCTCCTCCTCCCACTCTCCCTCTCCTTCCCCCTCCTCCTTCTCGCTCTTCACTTTAACTGATTGATAGACTCTGTTGAACATGAAAATAGAGCTTGACTCCTCGCCTCACTTTTCACAACTGGAACAGGGGATGGGTGGACGGAGGGTGAAACCAACCATTGCAGAGAGAGATGGAGAGAGAGATGGAGAGAGAGGAAGAAAAAGGAAGAGAGCAAGCCGGGGAGAGAGGGAGAAAGAAAGAGGGAGAAAGAGAGTGAGAGAAAAGACAGATGTGTGTGAGAGAGAGAATAAAAAAAGGGAGGACTAACGGATCTCAGATCACCACCTAGGAGGACTAACTGATCTCATATCACCATTTAGGAGGACTAACTGATCTCAGATCACCACCTAGGAGGACTAACTGATCTCAGATCACCACTTAGGAGGACTAACTGATCTCAGATCACCACCTAGGAGGACTAACTGATCTCATATCACCACCTAGGATGACTAACTGATCTCAGATCACCACCTAGGAGGACTAACTGATGTCAGATCACCATTTAGGAGGACTAACTGATCTCAGATCACCACCTAGGAGGACTAACTGATCTCAGATCACCACTTAGGAGGACTAACTGATCTCAGATCACCACCTAGGAGGACTAACTGATCTCATATCACCACCTAGGAGGACTAACTGATATCAGATCACCACCTAGGAGGACTAACTGATATCAGATCACCACCTAGGAGGACTAACTGATCTCAGGTCACCACCTAGGAGGACTAACTGATCTCATGTCAACACCTAGGAGGACTAACTGATCTCAGGTCAACACTTAGGAGGACTAACTGATCTCAGATCACCACCTAGGAGTGCTATTAAGATCGCAGGTGTTACATCACCTAGTGGGACTATTAAAATAAGATATCATATGTTACACCACGTAGGGGTACTTTTAAGATCTCATGTGTTACACCACCTAGGGGGACTGTGTGTGTGCTAACCCCTCTGGCTTGGTGGACATATTGGATGCAATGAAAAGAGAGATTAGGTCATATGGTGTAACCTGTGAGTTTACCCCTGACACACTAAATGTGATTAGAGAGTGACAAATGCACACGCTACACTGATGTATTAGACAGATCTCCCACTGCATGGTGGGTAATCCATTATGAAATGGGAGTCTTGGTGACTTAACCCTGTCTTTTAGATTTGTTTAATAGGACACCGCCTTTGCACACACACCACACACACACACACACACACACACACACACACACACACACACACACACACACACACACACACACACACACACACATTCACACAGGCATGTATGCAAGCAAACACACACACACACACACACACACAAACTCTTCATTGTCCCCTTCTCTCTCCTCAAGGAGGCCTCAAGATACCATGTCTCTGTCATATGTTTTAATTCAACGCGTCACCTCTCTTTATAACCCAAGTAATTGGTATTCCTCAAGTTTCCACCACAGCTTTTTCAAACGGCCCTTAAATGATTTCATTTACAGGAATGTTGAATATTTTCGACACGTGGCGGAGGTGAGCTGCGTAGTGCAACGGACAAGATGAGTAAGCCATCCTCGGACGGACCACTCGCCTTAAATTACCCAGCCTGGTTTGGAAAATCAATGGCAGAAATGCTTTTCATTAGGTTTCAGGTGTCACAGACAATAAAAATGAACGATAGAACTGGATGAAGAGGAAACTCTAATGAGAAGACTAATGATTAAATGATTCCAGATTGTCTTTCTTCTCTTAATGCGAGTGGAGAATGAAAGGGAGAGAGAGAGTAGACAGTTGATGTGACATGTAGCCCGGTAGCCAGGGAGACATGTAGCCCGGTAGCCAGGGAGACGTGTAGCCCGGTACCCAGGGAGACATGTAGCCCGGTAGCCAGGGAGACATGTAGCCAGGGAGACGTGTAGCCCGGTAGCCAGGGAGACGTGTAGCCCGGTAGCCAGGGAGACGTGGTAGCCGGTGTCTAGGGGATATGGGCACGACTGTAGCCCAGGACGGGAGACGTGTAGGCCCGAGTTACCAGAGCATGTATACACGGTAACAGGGAGACTGTATCCAGTGGAGAGTTGTAAGCCGGTAGCAGGAGACGTTGACGGCACTAATGGCAATCAGGGGCTAGTCGTGCATTAGGGCGATATGGGCGACGCACTGCCAACGTATGGAGGGATTTTTCTATCATTAGTTACGGCAACATAGTATCCCAGGTTCTAATAGACGTCTGATCTGCACTAAATATCCAATAGTTCTAAAGTTCTTGCTTTCAAATGATGCCCGCCCCTTTGGCGATTTCACTCAGGTGAAATCGCCCGGAGTGGCTTTGACTTATCATGTAAATCTTTTTTGTTTACAAATATCAGAGCTTTCAATACAATCTCTATGGGTTCCGGGAGGGCTTGCACTTACGCGCTTTCGTCATACGTAACATAAGTAACCATGAACATAACTAAGAAAAGAGCGGGTAGAAGCGTCAATCAATTCACGTACAACTGTCAAGATGGCTAGCTTTGCGAGGCAAAGATGAAACTGAGGGCTCCACCAACCCTGGTATTTTTCTTGGACTTGTCAACTTTGTGGCACAATTAGATGAGGTGTTTGATGACCATCTTAAAAATGCTAAAGTTTTCAAGGGCACATCAAAGACCATTCAAAACGAGCTACTGGAGTGTATGCTAGCGGTCATGAGGGAACATATTGTGGACGAGGTGAAGTCGGCGAACTTCGTAGCTATCCAAGCTGACGAGACCACGGACGTTTCTACACAGACACAGCTGGTGCTTGTGCTGAGGTACATAGATAGCAACCACAAAGTGCAGGAGCGCTTTTTTGAGTTCCTTCCCATCTCGGAATCAACCTCAGTCTCAATCGCCAGTGTGCTTTTGGAGAGACTGAACGGTCTTTTTGCCGACGACGAGAAAGTCAAACTCATTGCGCAAGCTTACGATGGAGCCAGTGTGATGAGGGGAGAGAAGGCTGGTGTGCAGCAAAAGGTGCGTGAGCATTTCAAGAATGCCCATTACGTGCATTGCTATGCGCATCAGCTGAATTTGATCATGCAGCAAGCTAGAACAGTTTCAGTACAAGTAATGTAGCCTCTCTCTCTCTTTGTCCCTCCCTGTCTGTCTCTTTAACACACACACGCCCAAATCAGTTCACAGTTGATGTTGTTTAAAATAGTTATTTTTCGTTTTTTTTAAAGTAAAAAAAAAAAAAAAATCTGTTCATGTTCATTTTTACAAATCTATACAATTGGCCAGAATATGGTTGTTCATATTTACAAATCTATACAATTGGCCAGAATATGGTTGTTCATTTTTACAAAGCCATACAGATAGCTGTGTTTACCTTTTCTATAAATTATTTTTAAATTCTGTTTTCAGGCAAAATGTCTATCACTGTTCATTTTCACAAATCTATACAAGAGGGCAGAATATGGAAGTCTATAAAAATTTCTTATTACCAATAACTTGCATCAATGTTTTCAGTAGCCTCTATCAAAAGCTCCTGCTTGCTTGTTGTGAATTATGCTCAGGTGCACATATTTCCAATTCAACCATGAGGCCTTTTTGAAGCAAGTAATGTGTAGTATTGACTTATATGCTGCCCCTGTCTTCATGTTGTTGCTGGACATATCTTTTTTAAAATGTGTGTAGGTCACCTAAATCATCAGAAAAATTGCCCCCCCTGAGAATTTTTTCAGGAGCCGCCACTGCCAGGGAGACATGTAGCCCGGTAGCCAGGGAAACGTGTAGCCAGGGAGACATGTAGCCCGGTAGCCAGGGAGACATGTAGCCAGGGAGACGTGTAGCCCGGTAGCCAGGGAGACGTGTAGCCAGGGAGACGTGTAGCCCGGTAGCCAGGGAGACGTGTAGCCAGGGAGACGTGTAGCCCGGTGGCCAGGGAGACGTGTAGCCCGGTAGCCAGGGAAACATGTAGCCCGGTAGCCAGGGAGACGTGTAGCCCGGTAGCCAGGGAGACGTGTAGCCCTGCGCTGATGTCATGTTGTGGTCTGTTATGCTACTGGGATCTCTCCTTGGCTTCCCCTTAAAAAGTGTTGTGTCCAGAATGGTGTCCTGGAACCAAATTGTTTCTCTCTCTCTCTCTGTCTCTCTCTCTCGTCTATCTTGGTTTTATCTCTCTATTCACTTATCTGTACTGGTCTATTCTCTGTCTCGGTCTATGTCTATCTCTATGTATATTCTATCTCTCTATCTTTATCTGTTTATGTATTTATCTTGTGTACTCTCTTCTAGTAATCTATCTCTCTCTCTCTTTCTGTCTCTCCTCGCTCTCTTCTGATCTCTCTTCTCTCTACTCTCCTTCTTACCTCTTTTCGTCCCCATTTCTCTCTCTTGCCATTATCAAACACGACCACCGAGCTGAATAACACGTTGGTCTGCCTGTCCACGTGTAATTGCAATAAACCCTTTAAATCAAACAACCCGGCAACTGTTTCCGTGGCAACCACAAATGCAATGCCCATTTTTTCATTCTCCTGTTGTGCCGATTGAGCGAAGGAAGTGTGCCACACAGTGAGGAGGGTGCTAAAGGTGTTCAGAGTCTCATAACAGCAGTCGGTTCAGAACGTTTTAATTGGGCAGTTGGTAACTGGGTGAGGTTTAGAATTCTGAGGAAGCAGGAAGTACCTTTGTTGTTTGTTTTGTGTGGAGCATTTCAGCTTGTTACAAAGAGTACGGACTAATTTAGAGACTTGTATTTGATCTATTGTATTGAGACGAGAGTATTGACTTGTATTGATAACTTATTTGATTGTTTTGAGACAGAGACTTGTATTTGATCTATTGTATTGATACAGAGACTTGTATTTGATCTATTGTATTGATACAGAGACTTGTATTTGATCTATTGTATTGATACAGAGACTTGTATTTGATCTATTGTATTGATACAGAGACTTGTATTTGATCTGTTGTATTGAGACAGAGACTTGTATTTGATCTATTGTATTGATACAGAGACTTGTATTTGATCTGTTGTATTGAGACAGAGACTTGTATTTGATCTGTTGTATTGAGACAGAGACTTGTATTTCATCTATTGTATTGATACAGAGACTTGTATTTGATCTATTGTATTGAGACAGAGACTTGTATTTGATATATTGTATTGATACAGAGACTTGTATTTGATCTGATTGTATTGATACAGAGACTTGTATTTGATCTGTTGTATTGAGACAGAGACTTGTATTTGATATATTGTATTGATACAGAGACTGTATTTGATCTGTGTATTGAGACAGAGACTTGTATTTGATCTGTTGTATTGAGACAGAGACTTGTATTTGATATATTGTATTGATACAGAGACTTGTATTTCATCTATTGTATTGAGACAGAGACTTGTATTTCATCTATTGTATTGAGACAGAGACTTGTATTTCATCTATGTTATTGAGACAGAGACTTGTATTTGATCTATTGTATTGAGACAGAGACTTGTATTTGATCTGTTGTATTGAGACAGAGGGCGTTATTGTACAACACACACTTCTGAATCCTACGAACCACTTGCGGATAACATCAGGACTTTTATTCAGTAGCGTCCCATTAATGATCACGAAAATAGTGATATGGTCATTTAACAGATGCTTTTATCCCAAGCTACCCAGAGGTGGATACATCGCAAAAAACAGCGGGAGAGAGAGAGATGCAGAGAGAGAGAGAGGAGAGAGAGAGAGAGCGAGAGGAGAGAGGGAGAGAGGAGAGGGAGAGAGAGAGAGAGGAGACGAGAGAGAAGAGAGAGAGAGAGAGAGAGAGAGAGAAGAGGAGAGAGAGAGAGAGAGAGAGAGAGAGAGAGAGAGAGAGAGAGACGAGTAGAAGTGGAGGGACAAAAGGTGAGAGTAACCGATAAGCAGAAGAGTGAGCTAGAGACGTCAGAGAAGAAGAGAGAGAGCGATCTACTCTCTATCTTATCTCTCTCTCTCTCTCTCTCGTCTCTCTCTCTCTCTCTCTCTCTTCTCCCTTCTCTCCTCTCACTCACGCACTCACTCACTCTCATAATTGAGGCCCCTCTTGTGGTAAGTGTATCAGTGTCATAACCCCTTTGGCCACTTTCACCAACCCGTCCACTGACAGTAATGCTATCTTGATAGACAACGATGCCTTGCACACTACCAGACTAATCACATGAGAGAGTCGTACGAGAGACTCTCTGATCCATATGCATATCAATGTCTTCTTCTTCTTCGTCTCCATTATGTTTTATTCATCCATCCATCCATCTTAACGCATAAACAACGCTAACCCTTCAGTTCACCCAAATAAACACAGACCAACAAACACAATTAATTAGTCATGAATCATTAGCAATTAATGTCCCTCTTCTCTCTCTTTCTCTGCTTTCATTTCCAATTAGCTGCGTTGAACGCTGTAAATAAGTCTTTGACTAGAGAGTATTAGAGTGGTAGGACGCTGCCAGCCATGCCTCTATGATATCTGCTGTCTCGGTAGTTTGTCACTGAACCGTGTGTGTGTGTGTTCCTCTGTGTGTGTGTGTGTGTGCGTGTGTTGCTTGTGTGTTTGTACCCCCAGGTCAGCACCGGTTCCTGGGCCCTAGCCTCTCTAAAGTCCGGAGCCTGAAGTTAGACAGCAGTATCTGGAGCAACGAGCTGGTGGAGGTACGGAGATGTTTGATCCAGATCACATGGGAATGTGTTGAGGTTTCTTCCTGTGAAAGTTGTGGAATCTGGAGATGGCGTTGTAGAAAGCATGGCAAGGGTTTCGTAAATGTATTATTTTACCGCATACATTTAGTTTGGCATTGTAATACGGTTTTGAATTATCCTTCTATACTATAGGAATTTCAGTGACTACAGTAGGTCATTATTATAAAACTAAGTTCTCAACGACTTACCTGATTAAAATAAAGTTTTAATATATAATATTTTAATATAATGTTTTTAGTTTTAAAAATAAAGTTCTAATGTTAAACAAATTTAACATGATTGTTCTGTGACTGTTTCAGAGAGTGCAGTTGATGCTTTACAATTCTAATAGTTCATTGGACATCTGACCTCTGCCCTCTGACCCCACAGCTCTTTCTGGAGGTGGGCAATAAGAACGCCAACAGCTTCTGGGAAGCCAGCCTGCCCCTGGAGGAACAGCTTCACATGGGTGCGTCGCCCGAGCAGCGGGCCACCTTCCACCGCAGGAAGTACAGAGAGAGGAAGTACCGGAGGGTCCTGGAGAGCCTTCACAACCAGGAGCAGCTCAATCAGGTAGAAACTGGCGTGAACCGGTGTAAACGTCTGAACTGGCTGAAACCTGTCTGAATAGATCCAAACAAGTTGAAACTGGGTGAAACAGGGTTGAGGTTTCTAGTTTATGAAGTTTTCCCATATGCGCAAAAGCCTCTTCAGTGTTCCTGTACTGTGCACTAAGAAGTAAAACAATCTAACTGACACAAAATGTCTGTGTCCAAAAGACGATCTGCTTCATGTGTGCTGTCTCCGTGTATGTTAAGATGGTTTAGTTAGAGGCCCTCTCTCCATAGTTAGTTTGCTAATGTGTATGTCACGCTGTAGAACGTGAGTTCTTTTGGCCCCGCCATCGGAACCAAAGTGTGTCAAATTTTTTTTTACTGATCCTCTAAATGTACTGATCCTCTAAAAGGCTGAGTGTACACCTGCGTCAGCGTTTACACAGATCAGATCAGTCCTCACTTATTGTTTTGCGAAAAAGAGAAAGAGTGAGGGAAGGAAAGGGAGAGGTAGAGAGAGAGGGAGAGGTGGAGAGGTAGAGAGAGAGGGAGAGAATGGAGGGGAGGAAGGGGGGAGAGGGGGAGGGTGGGGGAGGGGGAGGGAGATAAGGGAGAGGGGGAGATTGGGGAAAGGGGAGGGGGAAGGAGGATTTCTCGCTAAGTGGAAAAAAGGGGGTTTAAAATCCCCCAAAAGAAAGCCTTTGTCGGTTTCCCCCTTTGGCTTTCTTGTGTGTGTGTGGTTTTGTGGGTTTGGGTTTGGGTTTTCCCTTTAAAAAAAGGTGAATGGGGGCTGTTCAAAAAGAGTGGGGAAAAAGGTTTTGGTAGGAGAGAAGTGTTTAGGGGGGGAGTAGGAGAGGAGGGCCATACTAAATGTTTTTAGGGAGGGAAAAGGGAGGGACCAAATGTCGCCAGTGGTTTTAGTAATACAGGAAAGGGGTTTTAGCCCTTATGGGGGGGTTTGTAGAATTACAGGGGGGATGTAGCCCTTTGTGGTGTAAATAAATTTCAGGAAAAGGGTAAACCTTCAGTGGTTTTGTAGTAATTAAAGAAAGGTTGTAGCCTTCAGTGTTGTAGTTTCGAATTACGGGTAGTAATACAGGAAGGATGTAGCCTTCAGTGGTTGTAGTAATTACAGAAAGGATGTCTAGCCTTCAGTGGTTGTAGTAATTACAGGAAGGATGTAGCCTTCAGTGGTTGTAGTAATTACAGAGAAGGGGTGTAGCCTTCAGTGGTTGTAGTAATTACAGAAGGTGTAGCCTTCAGTGGTTGTTGTAATTACAGGAAGGGTGTAGCCTTCAGTGGTTGTAGTAATTACAGGAAGGGTGTAGCCTTCAGTGGTTTGGGAATGTGATGATACAGAAGAAACAAGGCAACAGTAAACATGCCATCCTCCATGAATGATGCTTCGCCCCCCTTGGGCCAATTGAGATATTGCATGTGACTGATACATTTCAGGTAATTACTATACAGTGCCTTGCTAAAGTATTCAACCCCCTTGGCGTTTTTCCTATTTTGTTGCATTACAACCTGTACTTTAAATTGATTTTTCTTTGGATTACATGTAATGGACATACACAAAATAGTCCAAATTGGTGAAGTGAAAATTACTTGTTTCAAAGAATTCTAAAAAATAAATAACTGAAACGTGGTGCGTGCATATGTATTTACCCCCTTTGCTATGAAGCCCCTAAATATGATCTGGTGCAATAAAGTCCACTTGTGTGCAATCTAAGTTTCACATGATCTGTCACATGTTCTCAGTATATATACACCTGTTCTGAAAGGCCCCAGAGTCTGCAACACCACTAAGCAAGGGGCACCACCAAGCAAGTGGCACCATGAAGACCAAGGAGCTCTCCAAACAGGTCAGGGACAAAGTTTTAGAGAAGTTCAGATCAGGGTTGGGTTATAAAAAAATATCAGAAACGTTGAACGGAGCATTATTAAATCCATTAATTAAAAAATGGAAAGAATATAGCACCACAACAAACCTGCTAAGAGAGGGCCGCCCACTAAAACTCCCGGACCAGGCAAGGAGGGCATTAATCAGAGAGGCAACAAAGAGACCAAAGATAACCCTGAATGAGCTGCAAAGCTCAACAGCGGAGATTGGAGTATCTGTCCATAGGACCACTTTAAGCCGTACACTCCAACAGAGCTGGGCTTTACGGAAGAGTGGCTAGAAAAAAGCCATTGCTTAAAGAAAAAAATAAGCAAACACATTTGCCAAAAGGCATGTGGGAGACTCCCCAAACATATGGAAGAAGGTACTCTGGTCAGATGAGACTAAAATTTAGCTTTTTGGCCATCAAGGAAAACGCTATGTCTGGCGCAAACCCAACACCTCTCATCACCCTGAGAACACCATCCCCACAGTGTGCCAGAAAAAAGTATTTGCTTAAAGAAAAAAAAATAAGCAAACATGTTTGGTGTTCGCCAAAAGCCATGTGGGAGACTCCCCAAACATATGGAATAAGGTACTCTGGTCAGATGAGACTAAAATTGAGCCAACAAGGAAAAGGCTATGTCTGGCACATACCCAACACCTCTCATCACCCCGAGAACACCATCCCCACAGTGAAGCATGGTGGTGGCAGCATTGCTGTGGGGATGTCTTTCATCGGCAGGGACTGGGAAACTTGTCAGAATTGAAGGAATGATGGTGCTAACTACAGGGACATTCTTGAGGGAAACCTGTTTCAGTCTTCCAGAGATTTGAGACTAAGACGGAGTTTCACCTTCCGGCAGGACAAGGACCCTAAGCATACTGCTAAAGCAACACTCAAGTGGTTTAAGGGGAAACATTGAAATGTCTTGGAATGGCCTAGTCGAAGCCCAGACCTCAATCCAATTCAAAATATGTGGTATGACTTAAAGATTGCTGTACACCAGCGGAACTCATCCAACTTGAAGGAGCTGGAGTACTTTTGCCTTGAAGAATGGGCAAAAATCCCAGTGGCTAGATGTGCCAAGTTTATAGAGACATACACCAAGAGAATTGCAGCTGTAATTGCTGCAAAAGGTGGCTCTACAAAGTATTTACTTTGGGGGGGGGGGTGAATAGTTATGCACGCTCAAGTTTTCTGTTTTTTTGTCTTATTTCTTCTTTGTTTCACAAGAAAAAAAGAAATGTAGCATCTTCAAAGTGGTAGGCATGTTGTGTAAATCAAATGATACAATCCCCCCCCCGAAAATCCATTTTAATTCCAGGTTGTAAGGCAACAAAATAGGAAGAAGGCCAAGGGGGGTGAATACTTTCACAAGACACTGTAGCTCCCGCTTTGAGCCAATCAGTGTAATTTATTAAATTCCGGATCTCTATGGCGAGACACATCTTTCACCCAAGTTGTATCAGATATTGCGTGTGACTATCGTGCGGACGGATGGAGACAGATCCACAGTCCCTTCCTCGTAGTGCTGAGTGATTAGTGTTTTTTGAGGTCGTTTCGGTTTGATTATTAAAAATAATCACGTTTGTTGAATTTTTTTAATTAAATGCACTATGAATTAGTGGGTTAAATACTGTAACAACACAGAATAAAACAATGAATGAAAGTCCCATGATGGTAGTGACTGCTCATTACTGCTGATCACTTATTAACCATCATTTATTAACTTTACTTTAATAAAATATTTCAGTTGTTGTGTATTTTTACATTTTGTTTTATATTTCATCTTTATTATTTCATTCCAAGTCATCATCTCATCTCTATAGAGCTACTGTCTGACAAAATCACTATTTTAGTAGTTCTTCACAGTAAATAAGGAATACTACTATGACTGCTGAATACCAACTATCAATCAATTAGATCATGTATTTTTATCAAACACTTAGTTCTTGGTAGAGATACCTCCCGAAGCAACAGCTGCTCTCTATATCCCCTCACGATTGTGCATTCTTTTGTCTCTTCCGTAGCAGGTGTAAAAAAAAAAAAAAAAAAAAAAAACAGACTGGACAAGTTGGTGCGCAATGGATTATGGTCATTGTAGATAACTACTATGTTTTTTTGCACTAAACTATGTAGAATATTGGCCTGTTGGAAAATACAACTCCCCACTACATCTCACAGTTTAGGCTGGATCTGATTTATCTCTAGAGGATCTGATTTATCTCTAGAGGATCTGATTTATCTCTAGAGGATCTGATTTATCTCTAGAGGATCTGATTTATCTCTAGAGGATCTGATTTATCTCTAGAGGATCTGATTTATCTCTAGAGAAACTGATTTATCTCTAGAGGATCTGATTTATCTCTAGAGGATCTGATTTATCTCTAGAGGATCTGATTTATCTCTAGAGGATCTGATTTATCTCTAGAGAAACTGATTTATCTCTAGAGAAACTGATTTATCTCTAGAGGATCTGATTTATCTCTAGAGGATCTGATTTATCTCTAGAGGATCTGATTTATCTCTAGAGAAACTGTGCAATCTGCGCGTTGAGCTCACAGAAGAAAAAAAAACTTTAAAAAACTAAATGGAATTCTATTTTTTTGAACCGACATCTGTCAATTATTGTTTAATAAATGAAAAATATCAGACATTTGGGTTAATAGCACAGCACTACCTCCTCGATTTCACCGTGGGGGACAATTACTGAACTACATGAAATCTCTCTGCTATGATCTGACTGACTGAACACTGCCCTTAGTGTTTGTGTGGATATGTTTTATAGCCTAGTGTTTGTGTGTGTGTGTGTGTGTACGTGGTGTGCTTGGCCTCACTTTCAGACCTTGTTTCTGGCGGATCGATAAAACACGTTGGCTCCGTGCTTGGAAGAATTGCACTATCACCATTCCTCACCTCTGCCTCTCCTCTTTGGTTTAGGGGGGATACACTATTGTGTTTATCGACGAGAACGGGAGGGAGGGAGGGAGGGAGGGAGGGAGGGAGGGAGAGAGATCCCATTTTAATTGGTTGGATAGCATTCTTCCCCTTGACCCTGCATTCAGTTCAAAAGTGGTTCTCTCAACAGCCTTTAAAATGTATTCAGGGGATTTCACAGTCCATTTCAAATAGCAAATGGTTTTCTGTCCAAGTGTGACACTCATATACTCACTAAAGGGTTTCTCTCTCTTGTTTTTATTTCTTCTCCCTGTGTTGTTGGTGGATTGTGTTTGTGATTATTGTTGCTTGGCTATTTAGGTGAAAAATATGTCGATGTGCCCTGCTAAATGACTAAAATAAAAATGTCTGTCTGTCTGTCTCTGTCTGTCTGTCTGTCTGTCTGTCTGTCTGTCTGTCTGTCTGTCTGTCTGTCTGTCTGTCTGTCTGTCTGTCTGTCTGTCTGTCTGTCTGTCTGTCTGTTTCTGTCTGTCTGTATGTCTGTCTGTCTGTCTTCTGTCTGTCTGTCTGTCTGTCTGTCTGTCTGTCTGTCTGTCTGTCTGTGTCTGTCTGTCTGTCTGTCTGTCTGTCTGTTGTCTGTCTGTTTCTGTTGTCTGTCTGTCTGTCTGTCTGTCGCTGTCTGTTGTCTGTCTGTCTGTGTCTGTCTGTCTCGTCTGTCTGTCTGTATGTCTTGTCTGTATGTCTGTCTGTCTGTTCGTTTGTCTGTCTGTCGGTCTGTCGTCTGTCGGTCTGTCTGTCTGTCTGTCTGTCTGTCTGTCTGTCTGTCTGTCTGTCTGTCTGTCTGTCTGGCTGTCTGTCGGTCTGTCTGTTCTGTATGTCTGTCTGTCTGTCTGTTTCTGTCTGTCTGTCTGTATGTCTGTCTGTCTGTCTGTATGTCTGTCTGTCTGTCTGTCTGTCTGTCTGTCTGTCTGTCTGTCTGTCTGTCTGTCTGTCTGTCTGTCTGTCTGTCTGTCTGTCTGTCTGTCTGTCTGTCTGTCTGTCTGTCTGTCTGTCTGTCGGTCTGTCTGTCTGTCTGTCTGTCTGTCTGTCTGTCTGTCTGTCTGTCTGTCTGTCTGTCTGTCTGTCTGTCTGTCTGTCTGTCTGTCTGTCTGTCTGTCTGTCTGTCTGTTGTCGTCTGTCTGTTCTGTCTGTCTGTCTGTCTGTCTGTCTGTCTGTCCGTCCGTCCGTCCGTCCGTCCGTCCGTCTCTCTCTCTCTCTCTCTCTCTCTCTCTCTCTCTATCTGTCTCTCTAGGCACTGTGTGCTGCTGTGGTTCTACCTGACGTGGTAGAGACCATGGCATTGGTGTTCAGTGGAGCTGATGTGATGTGTGCTACAGGAGATCCAACCCACTCGACTCCCTACCTACTGGCCCAGAGGGCAGGGCAGAGACTACAAATGGAGTTCCTACACCTCAACAAGCTCTCAGGTAGCTAGCTAGCTGGGTGTGTGTGTGTGTTACGATACCATCATGTTTTACTAATCACTATGTGTGTGCGTGTGCAGGGCCGTGTGTTTGTGCGTCTGTCAGCCGCTGAGTGTGTATTCAGAAAAAAGGGTGTCTTAAGTCATCGTACAAAGCATGTTGTCATCCGCCGGCATTTCAGCCACACATTGGACACCCTTTGTACTGCCACAAACCTTTTCAACAGGGAAATAACAGCTCATTTATACACTATTCAGGCATGCCAGTCCTGTCTCTCCCATATAAATCTGTGAAAAGGCTGTTGAAAGTAGTGGCTAGATGTTGGGTGTTTTATGAGCGCACAGACAAGCCCAGTCCAGCGCCTCCCTCCCTCCCTCCCTCCCTCCCTCCCTCCCTCCCTCCCTCCACACACAATCAGACTGTTGTCTTTTTACTTTACAATCCAATCATGTTTAAAACTCTCCCTCACGCCAGCCTTCCCAGTCATAAAAGCACAGTTTGAGACGTTATATTTCTCCCCTCACTCCCATGAATAGAGAGCGAAGGCAGGAGCGAACAAAGGGAGATAGAGAAGAACATACTTCTCCTCTCATCTCCTCACTCCGCCGTTCCTCCCCAGAATTGCCTACAAGACCGGTATGTGAAGGGTCATTCCCTTAGCTTACTGTAGTAGGAGGCATGTTACAGATGTGTGTTGTGCTGTTATGATTCCCCCATGACACACATGTTGTGCTCGGATGGTTCCTTGCAGGGCGTAGTGATAAGAGTGATTTAAGTCGAGGAGAGAGAGGGCCGCTCTGTCGAAGGAATTACAGTGGGGGAAAAAAGTATTTAGTCAGCCACCAATTGTGCAAGTTCTCCCACTTAAAAAGATGAGAGAGGCCTGTAATTTTCATCATAGGTACACGTCAACTATGACAGACAAATTGAGAAAAAAAAATCCAGATGGTGGAAAATAAGTATTTGGTCACCTACAAACAAGCAAGATTTATGGCTCTCACAGACCTGTAACTTCTTCTTTAAGAGGCTCCTCTGTCCTCCACTCGTTACCTGTATTAATGGCACCTGTTTGAACTTGTTATCAGTATAAAAGACACCTGTCCACAACCTCAAACAGTCACACTCCAAACTCCACTATGGCCAAGACCAAAGAGCTGTCAAAGGACACCAGAAACAAAATTGTAGACCTACACCAGGCTGGGAAGACTGAATTTGCAATAGGTAAGCAGCTTGGTTTGAAGAAATCAACTGTGGGAGCAATTATAAGGAAATGGAAGACATACAAGACCACTGATAATCTCCCTTGATCTGGGGCTCCACACAAGATCTTACCCCGTGGGGTCAAAATGATCACAAGAACGGTGAGCAAAAATCCCAGAACCACACGGGGGGACCTAGTGAATGACCTGCAGAGAGCTGGGACCAAAGTAACAAAGCCTACCATTAGTAACACACTACGACGCCAGGGACTCAAATCCTGCAGTGCCAGACGTGTCCCCCTGCTTAAGCCAGTACATGTCCAGGCCCGTCTGAAGTTTGCTAGAGTGCATTTGGATGATCCAGAAGAGGATTGGGAGAATGTCATATGGTCAGATGAAACCAAAATATAACTTTTTGGTAAAAACTCAACTCGTCGTGTTTGGAGGACAAAGAATGATGAGTTGCATCCAAAGAACACCATACCTACTGTGAAGCATGGGGGTGGAAACATCATGCTTTGGGGCTGTTTTTCTGCAAACAGACCAGGACGACTGATCCGTGTAAAGGAAAGAATGAGAGAGAGATGAGAGAGAGATTTTGAGTGAAAACCTCCTTCCATCAGCAAGGGCATTGAAGATTAAACGTGGCTGGGTCTTTCAGCATGACAATGATCCCAAACACACCGCCCGGGCAACGAAGGAGTGGCTTCGTAAGAAGCATTTCAAGGTCCTCGAGTGGCCTAGCCAGTCTCCAGATCTCAACCCCATAGAAAATCTTTGGAGGGAGTTGAAAGTCCGTGTTGCCCAGCGACAGCCCCAAAACATCACTGCTCTAGAGGAGATCTGCATGGAGGAATGGGCCAAAATTCCAGCAACAGTGTGTAAAAACCTTGTGAAGACTTACAGAAAACGTTTGACTTGTGTCATTGCCAACAAAGGGTGTATAACAAAGTATTGAGAAACTTTTGTTATTGACCAAATACTTATTTTCCACCATAATTTGCAAATCAATTCATAAAAAATCCTACAATGTGATTTTCTGAATTTTTTTTCCTCATTTTGTCTGTCATAGTTGACGTGTACCTATGATGAAAATTACAGGCCTCTCTCATCTTATTAAGTGGGAGAACTTGCACAATTGGTGGCTGACTAAATACTTTTTTTCCCCCACTGTACCTACTTTCCCAGGAACCCTGATTTAGATCATGTACACACACACACACACACACACACACACACACACACACACACACACACACACACACACACACACACACACACACACACACACACACACACAGACACACACAGACAGACACATACAATTGCTTCACCCTCATCAAAGGTGTGTGTAATGAAGATAAGACTGTGTGTGTCCAATCAGCTATTGTTGTTGTCACTGTGACACACTGTGTGCGATGCAGAGCAAATTCAAACTAAGCCATCACAGAGCATCTCCCTCTTCTAATCCCATGGTGGGGTGCTCATTTGGAGCTTCTTCTTCGGCGTTCCCCCAACTTCAGACCAATGTTAAGATAACCCTAATGTCTTCCTGTGTGCTGAGCGCTGTCCTCATTAGGCTGAGCACTGGCCCCCCTGATTCGGTTGATAGGGCCAATGTTTACTCTCTGAAGCGATGTCTCTTCCTGGTTGGGGAATAGTGCAGGGCCGAATCGATAATGTCCACCATCCATTATTGTCTAGTATTAACCAATGACTGTTGTCTCAAAACTGGGAGATTATTTTAGAGGTTCCTCCTTTTGGAGCTAAACAGAGATTTGGGCATAATGTTACTGTGTGGGAAGCAGGGGGGAGAATTCTCCTAGTAATGAGAAGGTCTTGTAGAGTGAAATATAGGCTTTATTATCAAGTAAGGTTTTGTAAGATTCCAGGTTAAAATGTTAGTTATTTATCAGTCAGTGTCTATTATAGATAGTTGCAGACCTAATGGTTACGTCTTAGCATCACTGGACCTACAGTGTCGTTGAAAGTATTTGCCCCCTTTCTGATTTTCTCTACATTTTCATATTTTTGATACTGAATGTTATCAGATCTTCAACCAAAGCCTAAGATTAGATCAAGGGAACCTGAGTTTACAAAAAAAAAAAAAAAATGATGCTTATTTCATTTACTTTATTAACAAAGTTATGCAACACCCAATTCCCCTGTGTGAAAAATAATTGCCCCCTTACACTTGACTGCAACCGAACACTTCCTGTAGTTGTTGATCAGTCTCTCACATCGCTGTGGAGGAATTTGGGCCTTCCATGGAGAACTGCTTTAACTCAGCCACATTTGTGGGTTTTCAAGCATGAACTGCTCGTTTCAAGTCCTGCCACAACATCCCAATTGGGATTAGGTCTGGACTTTGACTAGGCCATTCCAAAACTTAAAATGTGTGTGTTTTGGATCATTGTCTTGCTGCATGACCCAAGTGCGCTTCAGCGTCATCTCACAGATGGACGGCCTGACATTCTCCTGTAGAATTATTTGATACAGAGCAGAATTCATGACTCCTTCTATTAAGGCAAGTCGTCCAGGTCCTGAGGCAGCAAAGCATCCCCAAACCATCACACTACCACCACCATGCTTGACTGTTGGTATGCGGTTCTTACTGTGGAATTGCAGTGTTTGGTTTTCCCCAGACATAATGGGACCCATCTCGTCATGTTGACTGAAGTTTGATCATCAAGACTCTTGGAAGAATGTTCTATGGACAGATGAGTCAGAAGTATACCTTTTTGGACGACACCACCGTCCCTGGCGCCTCATATCTCCAGCCACATTAAACATTCCTCCTGCTTTCTGTGGGTAATACAAAATCAACTATTTTCATCTCCCCACAGTGTTATTAGTGACAGCTGCTGGGTTGTTTGTTGTTGTTTCACACACACACACACACACACACACACACACACACACACACACACACACACACACACACACACACACACACACACACACCACTGTCTGCACCCTAGCTAACCCCCTCAGCTCATTAGGAGCTGTTCTCAGGAAGAGCTAGCTAACACATGGACGCCTGTGTGTGTGTGTGTGTGTGTGTGTTTGTCTAGGTGTGTGCCTGTGTGTGTTTCTACCTAGGTATGTTTAGACTCCTTGCACTTTAAAGCCCTCCTAGAAGTTGTCAATCCATACTTTCTACAAGGCATGTGTGTGTGTGTGTGTATGCCAGTGTGTGTGTGTGTATGCCAGTGTGTGTGTGGATGTTGTCACAGTGTCCTGTTCCGAAGGCCAGGGTCACAGACAGACTGTTGTGGTTTTGGATCGCTACAGGACCGTTACCGTGCCGACCGTCCCGAAAGCTAATTGGGCACTCTGTCATGTCACCTCCCTCACTGGGGAGTTAGCCAATCAGCACAGCCGAGAAATAGGCTGTGACTTCCACAAACAACAGGACAGCGCTACAGAGACAGCAGTTTACATTGTCATCTAAGGGGCCCAACGGGACTGTTTAAAGGGCCAAACATACAGTCTAACACAGGGTCTCTCGCTGAGAAGCTAGATCTATTGGCACTGGTGCTTTCAGATCCAGTAAACACAGAATATTTTACAGTAGCTAACGACTTGACTTGTTTGTAGTCATGTTGTTTACCTACCAAAAGGTTGATGGGTATTTGTCCCCTCTGAGTCGACTTTGAACATAAGTGGAAGCTCCAATTGGAAAATGTCTGTGTGAGATTCACATCAGTGAGTAGCCAATGGAGACTCAGAATCTAAACAAGATCACAAATAATCACAATTTCGGAAATCTCCACATCGGCTTTGACTCTCGTAGCAGTTTC